TATATATATATATTACTCATACATTTTATCTCATTTTTTGATTAAAAAAATATGATTTAGTAATTCTTAAATTATGGATATATTGTGCATTGAGTTGTGGTAGTTGAATGCTCCAAAGGGGCTAAATCAATTGCACGTAGTTATTCAATAAATTAATAAAAGTCTTTCTAATGGATGTTTTGAATCAAAAACCAACCAGGCAACCACAAACTTGGAGAATAGTACAGGATTTCTAATTAATATATTTTGATGCTATTGTCTATTTTGGTGACTTTTCGAGTACAGTTTGCTAGAAAGAAATATTTAGAAGAAACAATTTTTATAAATACAAAATTATTGATTTTAATTTTCCTGGTATTTTTTGTTTTGGGATTTAGTTATGTTAGTTTGGACTAGTTTGTCACATGTCTGTCTAACAATGCTTCAGCCATGCTTCTACATTGCCTGTGGTGGAATCAACATTTCTTTCCATGCATACATTTTTTATAATAATATGCCATAATATTTGTAAATGCGTAAATTAATTAAATTTAAGTAGAGATAAGATATATTGAAAAAAAAAGTTTTTTTGGGCGGATTAATTATTGATATCAAGTAATTAATATTATTTTAAAATTTGAAAATGCCAAATAAAAAAAAAATCTTTAAAAAAATTAGAAAGAAATAAGAAGTATCTCTCATGAGCTACTATTTTACTTTTCTGAGAGGTGCTGAGGAAATGCCACAACGCAGTTTTTTGTGTTTGGAATTTTGGTGTGTTCCTTCTCTCCCTTCAACAGTCATGTTTAGTTAGATGTTTGCATCTTGTAACATCACTTAGTTGATCTTAGATGAATTTATATGTTCGGTAATTTCTTTTTTCTGTTTTATCGAGTGTAAATTACAAAGAAATCACAGTTGTATCAAAAGTGAGTTTATTTCAGTGTATTTTTGTTCTACATTTTTAATATTTCAAAATTTTAATTTATTCACAAAATTAATAAAATATTTACTATTGTGTTAATTCACTTGATTGATTTTCTTGCAAAAACTGTGTAACTGGTTTGGTTTTGAAGGAAGAATAAATTCATAAAATGCAATGGTTTATAATTTTAATTGACAGATGTGCAGTTTATGATTTAAGCAATTATTTTGAATAAGGGATTGAATTGTGTTGTTTAAGGTGTCTGTTACTTGCCAACTTATAGCATTAATATTTGTCAGTTAATTATGAAATTCTCGATTGAATTTGAATTATAATTATAATTCTGATTTTGATTTCAATTGTTTAATGATATTGAATAATGTGTATATGTGGTAAAAAGGTGACGAGAATATTGTAAGATATTATCTAAAAAATGATGTAGGTAATTATTATTTTAAATTTTATTCATAGTAATTATTCACAAAGTTAAGTTTAATTCAATTAATTTTTTAACTATAATCTAAACATATTGTATTTACTGTTTTGGAAAGTGTGATTTTCCATTTACAAGTCTCCAAATATTATTGTAAAAATACCCTTTCAAGTTTATTGACATATGCCAAGGATCTGTCTCTTCTAAAATTAGATACAATTTTAAAAAAAAATTAAATTGAAACCGTTATACTTAATTATAATACGTGCTTAAATTAATTTGAACCATAAATTTAATATGAAACTGGGTCTTTGATTTTGAACTTGTTTGAATATAGTGCGAGCTTGGGAAAGGCCCAACTATGTACCATTCTTTAGGTCATTGACAGAGCCACAGATGACTAAATTGTTTTATGAACCCAAAAAGTAAAAGAAACTTCAGTACCATGAACAGTGAGAATAATATTTTTGTAATTGAGATGACAATTGTGCTGTGCTCATATTTACCATTTTACGAGGGGGGAAAACAAAAATCAAATTAACAAGCGCTAAAGCATTGGCTTTTCCTCGTAAGTTGGAATGGAATGCCACCAACTAAATGCTTAAAACTATACATCAGTGAAGAGCGATCACTACCGTTGGATTGGAAAAAGAATCTGGACCGTCCATGATAGTAGTTGGGACGTATCTATCTACCTTTGTACAGTGGGGTTGGTTGGGCTGAGTTGTTGGCGAATACTCCTCTGCGTTACCAAACAGCACAAGAATCCTGAAGCCGAAATCGTCAACTCTTTATTTCCCGCCAATTCCCTCACTCCGTTCCAATCCTTCAACGCCGTCGTTTTGGGCGAACACGAAGAAGACGACGACTCTCCCTCTCCCTCCCCCTCCTCCGTGCAAGATTCACTCCACACCACTTCCTCCTCCTTCGCCGTCTTTTTCCGCAGCTGCTGTATCTTCTCTCCCATGAGGTCGCGGTACCCGATCGCTGAGATCTTCTCCAGCGCCGGGAACCCGGACCCGTCCATCACCATGGCGCCGATGTTCATCACGCCGAGGAACCTCCCGGACGGCCGCCGGATCTGGAAGGCGCTTAAGCACGGCACCGCGAGGTCGGCGGAGGAGAGCATGTTGCTGATGAGGAACCTCACGGTGCCGACGAGGTGGTCGCGGAAGGTGCCGACGGCGTAGATGGCCACGCAGACGCCGGAGGTGTCGCTGGCGAGAAACTCCGGCGTGACCTTGAAGAGGAACTTGTCGTACCAGGTAGGGTTGTGGCCGCCGAGCTTGTCGACTCGCGTCCGGAGCTTGGTTGCGGGGTCGATCCACGTGACGGCGTAGGTTTGGAGGCTTCGCCGGGGAGACGAAGGCGGCTTCAGGCCTTGCGCGGAGATCAAGTTGATCTCCAGTACTTGCTGCGTCTTCGCCGGCGACGGCGACATTCCTCTCTCTCTCTCTCTCTTTCTTACCACACCATCTTTATTCTTTCTTCGGTCTGCGGCAAGATGAACGGCGAAGAAAGAATGAACGGTTGTGATTCCGGCGGAAGAAAGGTGTTGAGATGCGAGAGGGAAAGTTTCAGAGAAAACGAGTGTGGGGCCCGCGTTTATATTTGGGCTTTTTTCTTTTTTCTGTTTATGATTTAGTAAAGTTGGAGAAAAATGAAAGTATTAGCTGTAAATAACTACTGAACTGGGTTGTGGGGCCGTAAGTGAAAGCCACTTTCTTGGATAACTAACTACTTCAATTGGAACCCAAACAAATCCTTTTGGACTAGGGGTGGCACTGCCACTCAGTGTAATGCATGGGATAATTCTTTAGTTGGATGAAAATGGACCGATAAAAATAATTTATTAAAAAAGTATTTTACGAGATTAATTCATTCAATCTATTTAGAAAATAAAGTTTATCCTATCTATTCATGATTAATGGATAATTATCTAATTCATGAAAATAATATATTCAAAAAATTAATTAAATTTTATATATGAAATATTTTTTTATTCTCTCATAAAAGTCTTTGTTTGTCTTTAAAAATTAAACTACAAAATATCCTGTTATAAAATAGTTACACATAAGAAAAAAAAAAAGGAAAGAAAGATCAACTAATATTTTATTTTGATTTCTTTTTATTTTTTTTATTTTTTAGTATGCAAATCTTCCTACACAGGTAAGTAAGACTTAAATGTTAAAAGTTCATTTTTTATCATGATTGAAATGTACCTTGCGTATAAATTATCATATCCATCAAAAATATAAATCGAAGATTAAATAATTATAGAAAGTATAATGATGTAAAAAAGTGGAATATAGTATAGAGAAAGGAAAGATACACATCTATACATATTTATTAAAAAAGTAAAACTAATAAAAGTTATTAAAATAATAGTGATCATTATTTTATTTTGTGAAAGAAAATAATTATTCAATAGTGTCTATTAATATAAAAGATAGTATGTAATTACTAAAAGAATCTCAGATTATAATGATAAATAAGGATAAAAATAAAATATTTTAAATAAATATAGATGAAGAAGTTAAAGAATAAATGAGTTAAAAAAAGAAAAAAATAAAAAATGAGATAACATTTATATATAGTATGAATTATCGTGATAATGTATTTATTTTTATCTATTTTTTTTGGGTAAATGAAACTACTTTAAAGAACAAATATTATGAATTTAACAATAAGAATTATAATAATTATTAAATATAAATATCTTAAAAATACTTATTTTATAAGTTATAAAGAAAAAAATAATATACAAACCAATAACAATCATGTTGGTGCATATATACGAAATATTTAGTAGTTTATTATAAAGTTTTTTTTTAAAAAAAATCTTATAAATCTATTTTCATACAATATTTTAAAATTTGTAAAAAAAAAATTGTTTAAAATTTTATTTCAATGCACTTCCATTAACGTAACTCATACTTCGACAATATTATACTCATAATAATATCAATAATATAACTAAAGGTTAGTTTTTATTTTCAATTATTATGATTTTTGTTTTCTCTAGATTTGAACTTCGCTATTATATAAATAAATTTAATAAAAATTTAAATTTAAATTACTACAGTATTTCTTTTGCACTTCAAATAATTTCTTCCCAGGTTATAATATCAATTTTTCTCAATTAGTTGACGGTGTCCGGTTAGTCTTGAATGGATCACCATAATTTCTTGACAAGGAATGGTTTTCTCAAAATGATCCAAATCATCATCATCCAATTTTAAAGTTCTTTAATTTCACAATAACCAGTTTTTTTTTTAGCTTTTGTAATATAATGGTTTGGATTAGACTGAGGACAAAGTTAAAGTAAGTTGATTTTAAAGTTTTTCTATAGTCTTTTCACACATGTTTCAAATAATATATTTTTCCATAACTTTATACCAAATGCATGGGCCTCCTAACTTCCTAAGATAATCTCACGTATCATTATGGAGAAGCTTGGCAAATCATTGGTCACTTTTGCCATTATTTTTAAAACTATAGTTGATTGATTTCATGTCTATATTAGGTGATTTGTTGTATTATATTTATTACATAATACATTTATCTTGCATATAGTGTTTAAGGGACACTCGTAACAACAATATCCATCAAAACCAATTTTGAGCACAAAGGTTCATGCATTATGAAATGCAACAAAACAACCAATGAACTCAAAATTGACAAAGATAAGCCTTGGATCGACACTAGGCCTCTATGGATTTCCTGAAGCTAGCATAGTTCCACCACCAAGTAGAATGGAGTTGTTGATAGTGGAGCATCTACTTGCACTTTCACAAAATGGAAAGTGTATTTCATTTCAATTTCCATAAAATTGGTATTATTGATTTAAAGTCAGTAAAATTGATGGGATGTATTACAGATTTAACTCATGTACTAAAAATAATAAAAATACAAATAAATTATTATTTTAAAACAAAAATAAATATAAAAAATTTGAAAGTGTTGAATAACCTCATAATTTCATTTGAAATTCATAAATAATTTCACTAAATTTAGAAAAGGCTAAAATATATTTTTAGTCTCTATAAAATTAATGGTTTTGATTTTGGTCTCTCTATTTATTTTTATTTTTAATCCTTTTAAAATTTATAAACATTATTTTGGTTTTTGTGAAATAGGTAAATTTTAATTTTGATCCTTGTAAAATGTTTTTCTTTAATTTTCATTCCTTTAAAGTCTAAATTAACTATTTTTAATTTTTAATGATTATTTTAAGGTGAATAAATAATATTTATTTTAAGAATTTATAATTTTTTAAAAAAAATTAAATATCGATACAATACTAATAATAGTTGTAGATAACATTTAAGAAAATTACTTAACTTTTTAATAAATAAGAACTAATTAAAACATGATCGCATAAAAATAGGACTAAAAATAAAAATTTTAACTTTATAAAAATGAAAAACATTTTTTATAAAAATTAAAATCAAAATTTATTAATTTTATAAGGATTAAAAATACATTTAAACTTTAAAAAAATTACTAAAATTCTAACAACTAACATCGTATAGGATGAGTAATTTATTTGACGGTGCAAAGAGATCAGAGTAGTGGACAACCGATCGATATCCCTTATATGTAATTAATAAATGAGATAGATTAATCTTTATCCAATAAAAACTTATATATTAAAAAATAATTTAGATTAAAATAATAAAAGACTTTTGTTTTTATCATGATTTTTATCATGATAACAAGTCCATAATTTTAATCAAAGATTTTATTAAATTCAAAATAATAAAATGATTACATAACAGGATCTGAAATATACCTAATTATTCTTCAACAAATCAGCATCTAATCAACCTTATGACATGTAATAAGATAAATTACTCTCATAAATGTACAAATTAACAATATTTTTAAAATACAAAGCAAGTTACATTGGATTTTGTTGTTTTGAAACATGTGTATATAACATTATAACCTAATTTTAGGGTTGAGACACACTAAAATGCTGTGAGTTTAGAATGTTATTAGATTATTACAGCGGAGGTATTTCGTACATAAACACTAGCATTTGGTATAAGATTAAAATTTTTGATAAATGGATCAAGATATAATCAAAAGAAAAGTTATTAGAAAGAACAGATTCCACGTACGAAGAGCTAGGCAAATGGATATATCAAATGAAAGAGTTAGGCAAATGAATACTACTTTAACATGCTTTGCTCTTGATGTTTGTCTTCAGTCACGTCGTGTGGCACATACCGACACATTGATTGAGATAATTACGCTCAACTAACTGAGTTTTGTTTTTTTGTTTTAATTTATTTAAATGTAATGTTTATTAACATGTAGAAATAATATCAGTGTACACCCAGATCAACTTGCATGCAATTCTTTCAGTTTAATAGTAATTTGGAGTCTTGAATATTATACGTATAACGCAACTACACAATAAAAGATAATTGTAGTCTTTATAAAAAATTAACAATAAAACGACAATAAATTTTGAAAAAAGAAAGAAAGAAGAACTGCAGAGTCTGCAATCTGCATTGTGTAGTAAAACATTTTCTGAGGCTCTATAATTGGTCCCTAGCTAACTCGGTGAGTAAGAATCGAAGATAGAAATGGGCAATAACAAAACACAAAGCGTTTCAATTGTCTTTCTCTTGAGTTTCCTTGCATTGGTTTGTTGTAGCAATGCAGGAGACATGGTGGTATACTGGGGCCAGAACGAGAAGGAGGGATCACTGACGGAAACATGCGACTCTGGACTGTACAAAATAGTGAACATAGCCTTTCTGTCAGCATTTGGCAGCGGGCGCAAACCCCAAGTGAATCTAGCAGGTCACTGCGACCCCGCATCAAACGGTTGCAAAAGTTTGAGCAAAGAAATAAAAAGTTGCCAGAACAGAGGCATCAAGGTGCTGATCTCAATCGGAGGTGGCAACCCGGGTTACTCGTTGTCATCCGCAGGAAATGCAAGAACCGTAGCAGATTACATATGGAACAACTTCTTGGGAGGAAAAGCAGGGTCAAGGCCTCTGGGTGATGCAGTGTTGGATGGTGTGGATTTTGACATTGAAGTTGGTGGTGGCGAAGGGTTCTATGGTGTGCTTGCAAGGAGGCTCTCTGAGCATGGAAAAGGTGGCAGAAAAGTGTACTTAACAGCTGCACCTCAGTGTCCCTTCCCTGATGAGCATCTTAAAGGGGCATTGTCAACGGGGCTGTTTGACTATGTGTGGGTTCAGTTTTACAACAATGGACCGTGTCAGTTTGAGTCTAGTAACCCTGGCAAGTTCCAGAAATCGTGGAACAAGTGGGTGTCGTCCATTAAGGCTAGAAAGATTTATGTTGGAGTTCCTGCTTCTTCATCTGCAGCTGGTAGTGGGTTTGTGACAACGCAACAACTGAAAGCACAAGTGTTGCCATTTGTCAAAAAGTCTAGCAAGTATGGGGGAGTGATGCTGTGGGATAGAGCTGCTGATAAGCAAACTGGATATTCCACAAACATCAAGGCCAGTGTTTGAAGTTAATGCCTTCCCTTCTCTTGTGTTGTGGCTTTATTCTGTTAAATTCAGTTTCCTTGTAACTAGTTTGGTTTGGGGTACTCAAGCTAATGCTATATATAAAATGGCATTTCTCAGGAATTCTCTTTTTAATTTTTTTTAAGTTTAATTTTCATCTATGTAAAACTTCTTTAATGCTATATATATATATTCCCATCATACACTCATTTGCTTTTAGAAAAACCTACATTTCAATGTATTATGATTATTTAATATATATAAAAAACTCAAGTAAGAATATACAAAAAATCCTTGAGATAAAATATTGAAGTTTGAAATTCGAAACGAGAGAGTTTTACGGCTTATAATGAATTTATCCAGTTTTAAAAAGTTTGTCTTTAATTGAAGATATACATAATCTATAAAAAAATTATTATAGAATTTTTAATATCACCAATAATTAAATATATGAAAATAAAAAATATTTATTTACTATTTGAAAAAAACTTGATCAATTTAATTTGATACTTACTATTTTATTCCTGGTGCATAAGTTATTGTTATTACATATAAGCTTTTAGATATTCCAATTACTTAAAATAAGTATTAAATATATATTTTTAAAATAATGTAGATTTTATTTTTAATAAAAATATATTTTAATTTCATAACCACTTGATGAATAAGGAAAATAAATACTAATAAAAATTATCTATAATATAGATAAAAATCACTTAAATTTATTTATACCAAATTTTACAAATTGGTATAAATTTTCATGTTAAAAACATGATAAGAAATATTTATTACGAGCTCTAAAAAAAAGAAGAAATGTTTATTCTGAAGTAATTAATAATTACATTATATTACAACTATTAATACTCTTATAATTTATTTAATTAACGTATTTCTATTCATAGATGATTTTTTTATTATTAAAAGTATATTTGTATCTTCGATTATGATTTTTCTATTAAATTTAAAATATATAATTTAACATATTTTATATTTTTAGTTATATATTAAAACGGGTAGTGGGTTTGGACTCCTCTCTCTCTCTCGGCTGGGAGTATCGTTAGGGTTTTAGAACAACTCAGACACACGGGTACTGTTTCTGTTTCCCCCATTGCTCTACTTAATTTTTATTTTCGCACAATTTTCTTTCTCTTCCACATATTCAATTCAATCGTTCTTTGCCATTTACTTAGTGATATCAATTAGAAGCTTGATGTGGACATGGTTTAGTCTAATTAATCTCTAAATATCTCGGGGTTGCTAGTCTTGCACGAGTTCGGAACCTAACATTGACAAATCTAATTAAAGCTCGTGTGCGTGTGTTAAGGAACGTTAATGTTGAATTTTATTAATTTGGAGAATTATTATTTTTTGTGTAATCATGGATGATCTGTTATATTGTGTTTTATTTTTCTGCTTTAGAGGCAAGAATGGTGATGATAGGTGTGCCTTGAGCTGTTGGAACAGTGCACACGTTCTGTCTCATGTTGAATATGAAATGCTGATACATGTTAGATACCCACTACCTGAACTAATTGCTTTGATATATTTGTTAATATTCATCTGTGAAGTTTCTGAGGACTTTTATTTTTGGTGGTGTATAGTGATAATTTACATATTTATTGATAATTACTATGATGGTTGGAGCATAATTCTATTCCTATTAATTGTCATTTCTTTTTAGTAGTAAAAGTAGAACTTACACTTGTTATACCATGCCTGAGTGTTTTTTTCTTTTCTCTTTGCAATACCTGTTAATGGTAGATTGAGTCATGTTGTTATAATTGTTGTTACAAAATGCAAATTGAAGATTACTTAGCCTTGTAAGTAATCTGGAAACTGGAAAGCTATACTTTAATGAAAGTGTAGCAAGTTTGTCCTTATTTAATTTGTAGGCTCCGGTAAGTTTGAATTTTCTGCATGACACCAGCTAGGTTCCAATAGTTTTTTTTATAATCTTTTTCTTTATCTTCTTTTTGGTTTACATATCCATCAAAATGAATATGCCAATCAGTCAAAAAAAAAAAAGAACCCCTTCAATGAACTTTGATAAACCATTACAAACTACTGAAGAAGCTTGTTCTGGCTAGGTTTTTGCATTATCTAGCTTTTTCTCTCCATCCACAATGGGTAAAGCTAAAAAAGGACCCAAATTTGCGGTAATGAAGAAGGTTGTCACTTCCAAAGCAATCAAAAGGTGATTTTTTTTCTTCCTTATATATCACTGTTATAGCATATACATTACTCCTCCATTATGCCTGCTTTTATCTACATTCTCATTGCCTGAATTTGTTTTAAATTCAGTTATAAAGAAGAGGTATTGAACCCAGAAAAGAAAAACCTTCTAAAGGAAAAGTTACCCAGAAACATGTAAGCTTTCATTCTCACTATTTTCTTTCCCTTCTGATTCCTCATTCCTTGTAAAACCGTGTCCTCTCTTCTTTTTACTCTCCCAGTTTTAACAAGCTTTGTTTTGATTATACAGTCCAAGTCATTCCTCAGCACTATTCTTTCAATACAATACCGCATTAGGACCCCCTTATCGTGTTTTGGTGGATACCAACTTCATCAATTTCTCCATCCAAAATAAAGTGAGTGTGCTTTGTTTTGCTTTAGTTTTATTTATTTTATAATGTATGTTGGGGTAGTATTTGTTCCCCTCTTGTAAATAAACAAATGAGCTACAATATCTGGTTCTACCTGCACAACTTTCCTTGGAGTAGATTGTTTGAGGGTATAATATATGATTCTAATAATGGTTTCCATATGATTCTTTTGAGCTTTTCTTCAAAGGATTGGGATGATAAATCTAGCATTCACTTTGATAGAGAATTAAATACTAAAGCATTTTAGTTTGTGATGGATCTAATTAAAGCTGTATGAGTTGCATCACTGTCTTATGAAGCTTCTTTGTTTGTGCCTCACAATTATTTGGCTTTGTTCATGTAGTTGGATCTGGAGAAAGGAATGATGGACTGCTTATATGCAAAATGTGAGTTTGGAGTAGCATACTTGTTTCAATTTATGAATTTCTTGTTTAAGTTTAGGTGAATGTTGAGGTTTGTATTAAGTTTTAGAGATTATGTTGTGATGGGTGGATGGCCTTTATCATGAGTAAGAAGTTGGTCTTTATATTTGAATCGAACATGCCGCATTTTTTTCTGACCTTTATTTGGATTTTCAGGCACCCCTTGTATCACAGACTGTGTGATGGCAGAACTTGAGAAATTAGGCCAAAAATATCGTGTAGCTCTAAGGTAGATTGTGTCTTGTGCCTTGATCATTATTGATTGATTTGTATTCTTATAGCTTGGGATGCATCTCTATAAAATGAAAATTATGTGTGCATACTGGGCTTGTCCATGCATCTGCAAGTGTTTTCACTATGTATGTGCTTTATTAATTGAATTGAAGGTTGGGTAATAATAAACAAATCCATTGAATATTTATCTGCTAAACTAAAACTCCTTATTTTCCAGAAGCTAAAAGAAATTATATATCTGACTTAAATTTCAAAATTTATCACATTATGTGTTTTTAATGAGACACATGGGAGCTCTAATGTGAGTGAATTAATTCACAAAGGGCAAAACATCTCTTTTTAAAGGTCAAGGTGACAAGGGTGTAAAACAAAACACTGGACTCCTTGAATTTATTTTTCCTCTGAAATATCACGTCCTTTTGTTACTATCTTCTTTTTTATGCTGCTATTGTTCATATTCCTCAAGTAAGCTATTGCTCAGTCTAGTTGAGAAAGGAATTTATAATGTTCTAGTTTCAGCTTCTGGGTGTATTAATTTAGCTCTTCTATGTATGACATTGACAGGATTGCCAAGGATCCTCGATTTGAGAGAATACTCTGTACTCATAAAGGAACATATGCTGATGACTGCCTTGTTGAGAGAGTTACTCAGGTGTGATTTTTTTAAGTATCTAATAGATGTTTAGAAGCATTTGGGAGCAATTTGATGATTAAGATGAATTCATGATTTTCAGACGGGATGAAAAATAACCTTTTCACGAATATTTTTTCCTGGTCATGTGCTAGTTATTTATTTTCTACTTTATGGGACTTTAGTATTTTAAATCTATTTGTTGTATATGGTTATCTAGATATGCAGACAAATTTCAAGTGCCACTTGTCTTGATATTGAATTCAAGTGCCACTTGTCGTATGAACCCTATTTTCCAAATTCTTGGCTTTTGCAATGTATATTCAATATTCACTTAAGTAAATAATTTTATTGCAAATATTCACTTTAGTTAACACCTTTATGCTGTTTATTTCATCGGTTTTTTTTTGTCCAATTTATTTACACAATTTTCTTGGAAGCAGCATAAGTGCTACATTGTTGCAACATGTGATCGGGATTTGAAGAGGAGGATCCGGAAGGTAAATTCATTAATCATTTATTTGCATTCATATTTTTGATATCGGTCCTGATGCATGACCCGTGAAGCATGAACTGGGTTTCTATATTGCAGATTCCCGGTGTGCCAATTATGTACATCACCAAGCACAAGTACTCGATTGAGCGATTGCCTGAAGCAACAATTGGTGGAGGTAGATACTCAGAATTATACAGTGTTTTTTATAGCCATAAGTCACTAACTCCAATTTGAGCTTAATTTAATGAACTAACCAACCTATAAAGTTCCTTTGATAAACAGAATAAGCAAAGATTCTTTAACTTTGGCTCATCTATACCCAAGCTGATTTATTTTAATGTATAACACGCATCACATGATCTCGACTTTGCATTCCTCTCGAGTCCATGTGAAATCGGGTAATAGGAATGGTTTTTAGTGTATTGTCAATAGTTCTGGACTCTGTTCCTATAGTCGTAGAAGAAATTTACTAATCCTAAGTTGTCATATTTATTATAAAGCATAGTTCTGCTGATTTGAGCTAAATTTTGTAGTCGAGCTAAACAAACTGTTGCTCCATGCAACTTAGTTCAGTACATTGTCCCTCCCAAATAAAATGTAATTTTTTTAGTGGTTCATAATTGTCTCATCGGGTTGTCTTGAATGTAAATAAATTATTAATTATTAATCTGGCAACGCCAGACTGTTCTATGCTTGCTTTTTTATTTACCAGAGTCTATACATGTATGTCGATATAGTTCTGGCACAACTGATGCACTTGTGATTCTTAATGCAGCACCAAGAATATGATGCAGTAAAACTGATAAAGCAGCAAGTAGGAAAAATATTGATACTAATTGCTTGGTGGAGGAGCATGAAATCCTGTCCAAGTTCCATGCATGTTTGGTCCTTTTGTTGGCAGTGGATTGACCTCTTATGGAAGCTTTACATGAACGAGAAGCAACTCTTCAATTTTGATACATGAAATGTCCTTACTGTTACTGTAGCTGGAGATTTGGATTCCGTCAAATCTTGTTTTCCGCGTGTTGCGTTACTAATGTATCATGGTGAACCTTGGAGTGACTAAATTACGATGACATGTTCATAGTTCTAGCCACATAAATTACTAAATGATATATCTACATATTTATATATATGTTGGAAGAGAAAAAAAGTTTATTTTCCTTGAATTTTATTCGTATTGACTTCATCCTTCTTGTATGTTAGAAGACTGATTTGGAAATTGGAAAATTCATAGTCGCCGTTTTTCATTTTCTTCTTTTAGGGTCTATTTGTTAAGTTTGGTAAAATTAATATCCCAACTACAAAGTCTACATTTGAATGTGTCACAGTGGAAAGTATAAAATTTGCAAAACAGACAATATTTATAAAAAAAAATAAAGGTGTTTATATGTCTGTATATAAGGTCTCAAAACTATACATTTTATTGTGTTTTAATACATTTCATATCATTAGATGTAAATTATCCTTATCACCTCATTAACTTGTCGGCTCAAAACCTTGAGCAGTTAAACCGGTTGAACTCAAACCAGAAGTTTGTGTTTTACCATCCGTTTATTTTTATTTATTTATTTTTTAAAATTCTTTTAAGATTAACTGTAACATAAGAAAAATATATCAATTGTTTTGACATTGTTTCTTTTAGTAAAGTGCACAAGTTTGTATTTTTAATTAATATAAAATAAAACGATGAAAGAATTATATATGAACATAAAGCTTAAATAAAATTATACTTATAAATACATGCCCTGTCAACTAGCGTTTGTAGTCCAACGGTTAGGATAATTGCCTTCCAAGCAATAGACCCGGGTTCGACTCCCGGCAAACGCAATAATTTTACCTTACTATGTATATTTTTATTATCTCTATATAAATACATATCCCTTGCCATCAGCAGGCGTTTGTAGTCCAACGGTTAGGATAATTGCCTTCCAAGCAATAGACCCGGGTTCGACTCCCGGCAAACGCACTCTTTTACCTTACCCTTACCATTTAGATTTTTATTTCACATCCTAATTACCATGCAGAGTTAAGCGCTTTTATGGATGATCAACTAATAATTACTAACAAAGTGAACAAATAAAAATGGCATTGATTTTGGAAAATTTTACGGAGCATCACAAGACAACAAAGTCAAACCTTTTTCACAGTATCAATACAACAAGTATATATGGTGCAAAAAATTCTCCAACGATATCTATAGATCACACAATTCAGTGATTCACAAGTTTATATCTTGACTCTTGAGTAATGTAGCGCGCAGAAGATTGAGACCATCATCACTACGGGATACCGGCTACAACTATACACTGTCATTATTCAAAGATTAGAACTAGAAATATAAACTAATGTAATTCTGTTCATTAGTGAACGCAAGGTCAAAGAAAAGTGAATTAAGCATTTGGGTATGTCAAAGTTGTTTTTTAAACTCCTCTTTTTATCAAAAACAAAGTGACATCGATCCTCACATTGCTGAGGTTGCATTTGCCTTGAGAGGTATCATAAGACAGAACCGGCATTCACCAACTTAGTTGCCTTTTGCATGATAAAGAAACTAGATAGCACACTTTTACTGCGAGTGTGAACTTGGACAGCTCCACGTCCATTTCGATCGTCAAAGGACCCAAACGTTGTCAATGGTTTGGAACCTTTCAATGCATCCTGCAGACACAGAATCATCAGTAACTTCGCCAAACTTATGCCACAAAAGCACTAAAAAAAACTCGTCCTTTAATTCTGAGACTCTTAAGTTCATGCAAACTGGCTAGCTGGTATATATTCTCCATAATTTCACGTACCAGTTTGATAGAATCTCCAATGTTTGGTAGAAATTATTTATAATCTAACATAGATATGAAACTGTTTCAAGAAATTTCATGAGCATCATACAACTAAATTTCAATCTTATTAGTAACACAATGCAAAGACTAAATTGTCTTTGCATTTCTTGTCAAACTTAAAGTTTAATCTTTTAATTAGACATTGCCAATGCATCTTTTCCTCACTAGATGGAGGTCCCTTAACTGTCATCCTGTATGAGTTTGGCCTCACAACACAACCAACCACGCATCTATTATACTTCATTTGTTGATGATGCACTCTTGGTAATATATGTCAACATATTGGGAAAAACTCAAGTCCCACATCGACTAGAGATTAGGCAATTAAATAGTATATAAGTGAAAAACAACCTTCACTTTACAAGCCGGTTTTGTAGGGTTGAGTTAGACTTAAATCTACTATTCTAAGATGGTATCAGAGTTATCCTAGATTCTTAAAAGTGGGTCACCCACTATATATTGATACATGCACCATGGGCATGAGGGGGTGTATTCAAGTCTCGTCATTAAAAAAGGGTCACCTACCATTCATTGATACATGCACCATGGACATGAGGGGGTGTATTTCAAGTCCCGCCAATCCTAGATCATTGAAAAAGGGTCACCTACCATTTATCCACGTACCAAGCCCAATAGTGCTGGACGTGAGGGGGGTGTATTGAAAAAAACTCAAGTCCCACATCGACTAGAGATTAGACAATTAAATAGTATATAAGTGGAAAACAACCCTCACCTTACAAGCCGGTTTTGTAGGGTTTAGTTAAGCTTAAATCCACTATTCTAAGATGGTATCAGAGTTATCCTAGATTCTTAAAAATGGGTCACCCACTATTCATTGATATATGCACCATGGGCATGAGGGGGTGTATTCAAGTCCCTTTATTAAAAAAGGGTCACCTACCATTCATTGATACATGCACCATGGACATGAGGGAGTGTATTTCAAGTCCCGCCAATCCTAGATCATTGAAAAAGGGCCACCTACCATTTGTCCACGTACCTAGCCCAATAGTGCTGGACGTGAGGGGGGTGTATTAGAGGGTGTATTAGAAAAAACCCAAGTCCCATATCGACTGGAGATTAGGCAATTAAATAGTATATAAGTGGAAAACAACCCTCACCTTACAAGCCGGTTTTGTAGGGTTTAATTAAGCTTAAATCCACTATTCTATGACAACATGATGCATGCAATGGAACGTGAATGGTAATCTATAATTATTTTTTGAAAAGTATTAAGTGATTGAGTTACTGGTGCAACGAACTCCAAAGAGTTGCTAGTTTCTAAATTATCGACTTAAGCAGTCAAATACCCCTTTATCCCTTTTTCATTCATACATGCACCATGGGCATGAGGAGGTGTATTCAAGTCCCGTCATTAAAAAAGGGCCACCTACCATTCATTGATACATGCACCATGGGCATGAGGGGGTGTATTTCAAGTCCCGCCAATTCTAGATTATTGAAAAAGGGCCACCTACCATTTATCCACGTACCAAGCCCAATAGTGCTGGACGTGAGGAGGGTGTATTGGAAAAAACTCAAGTCCCACATCAACTAGAGATTAGGCAATTAAATAGTATATAAGTGGAAAACAACCCTCACCTTACAAGCCGGTTTTGTAAGGTTTAGTTAAGCTTAAATCCACTATTCTATGACAACATGATGCATGCAATGGAATGTGAATGGTAATCTATAATTATTTTTTGAAAAGTATTAAGTGATTGAGTTACTGGTGCAACGAACTCCAAAGAGTTGCTAGTTTCTAAATTATCAACTTAAGCAGTCAAATACCCCTTTATCCCTATTAGACATAGATTATCTTATCCTAGAAAGGAACTTCTCTCTGAAATACTACCCCTAATAGATTCTGTCAAAGATCTTGCGTAGCAATGTTAAGCAAAAATTCATAGTTTTTCAAACACAAGGATACAAATAGCAACAAATAGATCACATTTGACTATTCTATCAAGCATGCCACCCGTAGGTATTTGAACCTCCTGATTAAAGCAACATTACCCTGCCTGTGACACCCAAAGTTTGGGTAGCTGCACTAGAAGTAGGAACTCCATTTGTTAAGTGAAGTTGTGCTGATGAGGGTTTCATCCACATCCTCTCTTCACTATCTACAAGCATGAAACTAGAAATTGTAAGGGCTATTGTTTATACAGGAAGAATATAACCATTGGTTGCCCAATTGAACTGAAGTATATAATACAAGGGATACAGTTATTCAGCATACCTAAAAGGTGGAAAACTCCAGAGGTCTTGGCAGAAAATTTTGAGCCCTTGGTGCTGCAAAAGTGGATTTAAAATATTTAAAAAGCACTCAGCATCTTGACTACAATAATGCCATCAATGAAGTGCATATCAAATAAATCAACAGGCAAACACAGCAGCAAAATATAAACTTACTATTTTGAAGCGCGTGAACTCTGTTTTTTTAAGGTAGACTTAGTTTCTGAAGCTAAATGCCATGAAAGAGTTTTTGAAATAGGGGTACCTAGATACAGTATACACATTCAGTTAAATAATATGATGTTCACTAGTTGCCACCAAACCAAAAGAAAAGGGAAAAGGGAAAAGGGAAAAGGGAGAGGGGTGCGGGGAGAACACACGTCAAAACTAAAAACTTCAGAAGGGACAATTTTACAACAACAGACCTGAAGAATGATGAGTTCTGGTTTGAAATGGATTTTGTCTTGCATCAATCTTTCTGTGTGGGCTGAAATGGACCTTTTTATTGACGGAATCTAGCTTGCATTGTTAACAGAAACAAAGAGAACCATAAGAAACCCTAAATCTATAGATTTGTAGAGTCAATAATTAATTCTAGAAGAAAATTAGAAGTACAGATAGCCCTACTTGGCAAAATGTAGTGCTTATGATGTCTAGGAATGAAAGCCAACAACTGCTGTTGTCGAAGACCTTCTTTATCGTTGTAAATATGGCATGTAAGAAGTTTCTGCATGTAAGCAAACTATCTCAGTTCAACTCCAAATGGAATTTATATATTTCAATAAGATCTCGTGAGAATATTTGTAATTACCTGATTCAGAGTTGAGACCTTCAAGTCCATGGTTGAGACATTAAATGTTTGCTGCTCAAGAAGGTCACTTAACTTGTAAGCCACAGTTCCCATATGATCAACAGCATTAACAAGGGCTCTTACTGCATAATCTTTAAGGTTGTCAAGTACCCTGACGCATAAAGAAAGTAAAACTTAGGAGAAATCCATGCAGTTCAAATACAGAAGAATTATCGGCTGTCACAAAAATATCTAGGTTACATTGACAACCTGGTAAAGAACTAACTAGCACTTAGAAGAGCACTCCAGCCAAATCACCAGTTTTTAAAGGAAGGAGGTAAAGTTTCCTTATAGAACAGCAAACTAAAATACTCATTAACACACAAGTATCCTTACATTTGTTTTTGATCACTTTGTAGATAAGATTTCTCACAGTACTCTGCAGCAGAATAGAGTTGAGGCCTCAGGTTCTTAAGTTCCTGATATGAATTGTATCTCAAATTGTTATGAATTTGAACAAGACAGAAACAATAGCAACAGACATGAAAATATAGTTTTGAATCGCATTTGTGATAGAAATAAAAAGGAGAAAGATCTGAAGACCTGCAAGGCGAAGATGAAGCTCTTGCTGTGCTCCATGGAAACCTCGTCGAATGTCATGGCGCGATATTCCATAAAAAAAAAACTAGAACATTAATGTTAGCTATTTGTTTGGTTTGGTGGGAAAAGCAACACAGGTAGATCAAATTGAAGAACTGAAAGAGAGAGTCACAAGGAAGAAAGACAACACAGTCAAATTCCAAACACTCCTTTCATTACAACCGAAAATCACCCAACACAATTAATTAATTAAGAATTATTATGTCCTCTGTTGTAATTTGCAAACTCGTAACGGAACGGCAATTTAAATTCTAAAGACATTCATACCTTTTGCTTTGTTATTCTAATTTTAAAACAATAATTCTTTTTGTAGAAATAAAACAGTAGTGTTAGAGTTTAACTTCTATGTCATGTAGTGTACCCTCTCAACCAGAAGTTATAGTTTTATGACTTTAAATATACTTTATTTTTTCTAAAAAAAATCTCTTATTTCTTTTCTTAATATATCATGTAGCATAAGGTGTTTGAGTATTATTTTCCTTTTACAACTGCACCGCCTATTTTTTTAGAAACTAGAATAATTTAAAAAATAAAAAATGAACAAGTTCCAATTCATTATTGTTTTACTTTACTGCTGATCTCAAAAGTACTTTATTTACCTTCTTAAAAATAATATTCATTTTGTCGAATAAAGTTGAGAATTATAATAGTTAACTTTTACTTAATAACTAAAATTATGTTTAAACATATGATCTCAACTTTTAATTAACTATTATAATCTCAAACAATTTTCATTCGTTAAACAAGCTAAGTATTTTTAAAACGGGTATAAAAATATAGAAAATGAAAGAAAAAGGAAAGTAAGGGAATATGCTTTCAACTAAACCCAAGGCACCCAAAGATTCTAATCTTTCCGAAAGGATTATTCTTCTGTCCAAGTTTTTATCTCCATCCTCTTTCTTTCTTCGTTTTTTCTCTATCAAGCTTTTATTTGAGGAAAATAGTAGAAGGAAGGAGAGGCCCAAAAAGTAGAAAGAAAGAAAATCCAACCAATCACAGACTTTTCCAACTCAATAACTCCATAAATCTAATCTTATTTTCATTCCCCTCCTTTATTTTTTTCTTGCAAAAATGGCATTTTGTTCTTTCATTTTCATCCAAAAATTGTGACTCATAACCATGGCCCTTCTAATCCATTCCCAGGAATTTGTCCCCAAAATTGTGCAGAACCATAACCCTAACCCTAAACCCAGGAAGCTACACAACTTTGAACCCTTCCCAAAGGGCAAGGCAATTGGGTTAAAAGTGAGTTGCAAAGTTAAGGATAGTGGGGTTTTGGGTTTGGATCAGAATTCAAGTAGGTACGATCAGTTTTCAGCTGCAGTGAAGCGAGGGAGCAAAGAAGAAGAAGAAAAGCAAAAATATTACGTGAATTTGGGGTATGCTATTCGCTCTCTAAGAGAGGACTTCCCTGCTCTCTTCCACAGAGAACCCTCCTTCGAAATATACAGGTTCCCATAAATTACTTCATTTTAAATGTTTACATGTGTAATAAATTAAACTATGGTGCTTATTTTATATCTCTCAAGTTCAACTAGAGAAATCAAACACCTTGTTCTTGTTTTCTTTGGAATTAGAGGTTCTATGAGCATATGAAATTCAATTTTGCTGTGACTAGAAACGATATATGGTTGTTGCAGGGATGATGTTGTATTCAAAGATCCTTTGAATACGTTGGTTGGCATTGAGAATTACAAGTCAATCTTCTGGGGTTTACGATTCTATGGCAGAATATTTTTCAAGGCTTTGTGGATTGACATGACCAGCGTGTGGCAGCCTGTTGAGAACGTCATCATGGTTCGCTGGACTGTTCATGGAATTCCACGAATTCCGTGGGAGAGTCGTGGCAGGTTTGATGGAACCTCCCAGTATAAACTCGACAAGAATGGCAAGATTTTTGAACATCGGGTTGACAATGTTGCAATGGATGCACATCCCAAATTTAAAGTGCTACGTGTCGAAGATTTTATTCACTATATTGGCTGCCCCTCTACTCCAAGACCGACTTATTTTGAAACATTAAACAGAACTTGATGTTCTTGCAAACAGTTTTGCAAGTAACTATATAAAGCTGTTGAATTTTGTCCCAGTTGCCCATCTATGGATGGATGTTGTAATTAGTTGAGCTTGAAAAGTCGTCTATACTGTATAATAAGATAAGATTGCAAGTTCATACATATATATCATCACTCACATGATATTACAACATACAATAAACATTAAAAAAGAACACGACATTTATATAATTAGGAAAAGGAGTTAAATCCCAGTTTGGGGATTCCTAGGTACCACCACAACGGGACTTCTAACAACATGCCTTCCCTTTTCTTCAACCCATTCGAGTGCACCAAAAGCCACAACATGTTGTTCCTTTTCCATTTGAGATTTGAGCGTCAATGTGAATTTCCGTTTCTCATGTTTTTCCTTGAAGACGAGCCTATTGGGAGACACGGTGATGGCAGTGGCATTGGGTGAGCTCACACGTGCCGTGTAAGAAGCTGGACCATCTCCCACGTAAGTCACAATTCTCCGGAATTTTGTCTCGTTAGCATAGGAAGCCACAAAAGAAGGGTAATTGAGGTCATAAGATGGCCTCGTGCAATTATATTTCTTTGATCTAGTAATGGCCAAGATTTGGGCCTGGCTGAAATTCATCGCACAGAGGAGGTTAACATAGTCTTGAGGGGTGGCATCATAAACCAAACCTGGGTCAAGGGCCCGGTTAGGGTCAATCAGGCCAGCCCCCATGGCTAGAGGAGAAGCCCGTCGAGGATACTCTCCGTTCTCCTCAATGGGCTTTCCGGTGTTATCCATTGGGCTGGCCGTGGTTGTCAACGCGGACCTAATAGCCGAAGCACTCCATTCAGGGTGTGCATTTTTCAAAAGAGCCGCTACACCCGAAGCATGAGGGCACGCCATGGACGTTCCTGACAACAAATTGTATTCATTATTCAACAACACGTTTGGGCCTATTTGGGCCGCGGCCAAATCCGGAACCCAAGCCGCCAAAATTGACGACCCAGGTGCCACCACGTCGGGCTTCAAAACCCACGGACACCCCCAAGACGGGCCTCTAGAACTATACGTAGCCACCGTGGGGGCCCGCTTCGTTCCAACGTAGGTCTCTTGAAACCTGATAGTAGCAGAAGCGCGTGGCTCGCCACGCGCATATTTGATCACAGTTTCCCCATCCCGAGGAGTAATGACAACCCCGGGAGACGTCATTTTTCCCATTTCAAACACTCTGGGATCACTTGATATAAACACAGCTCCATACACTTGAGACGACGACACGTGTTCAATCTGTTGGAAAACATCCACAACGCCAACGGGATCGCATACCACGATGCTGCCACGTGCCACACGCGACAACAGTTGAGAAGAGTCGCACGCCGAAACGTTGTTAAGGTAAACCAGAGGAAGGTCTCTACTGGTGGCACTCGCTGGGAAGAGAGTCCACCCCGAAAACCTTTTCCCGTTACCCAGAATTAACGTGCCGCCAAACCAACGCTCTGTGTTGGTGGCTCCAACCGTTAAAACCCACGGAATCCCGTTATGCAAGGTGCCGAGAAACGGACCCGCGTTTCCAGCTGAAGATGAAACCACCACGCCCTTCTCCAAAGCAGAGAAAGCGGCTATCGCTACAGGATCCTCGTACAACGGCACCGCATCGAAACCCATTGAGATTGAAATCACGTCCACTCCGTCGGATATTGCTTGGTCCAAACCTGCCAGAATGTCGGAGGAGTACACGCCTTGGGCCCACGCAACCTTGTACATGGCAATTTTAGCACGTGGCGCAATTCCTCTTGCGGTGCCCTTGGCGTAACCGAAATACGACGCCGCTTTTACGTAGTTGCCAGCCACCGTGGACGAGGTGTGTGTCCCGTGTCCCACACTGTCTCTAACGGAGTTAGCGCCAATTTCAGCGCCGTGCACTGCGACAACACCTTGGTTGAAGTACCTTGCGCCTATGAGTTTGGAGTTGCATAGAGAGGGGTCAAAGTGTTGACCACCCTCGCATTTTCCCTTCCACGTTGGAGGAGTCTGAGCTACCATGCCATGGTCGTTGAAGCTGTCGCTCTCGGGCCAGATTCCTGAATCGATGACGCCAACGACGACGTTTTCGCCGTAGTTGGAAGCGGGCCAGAGGCCGTGGGAGTGGTTGAGAGAGATGAAGGAGTAGGATTGGGTGGTGTCAAGCTTTGTTGTTCTGTCTCTGTATGCTGAGATGAAACCTGGGGTTCGCTTTAAAGTCTCCAATTCGTGTGGTGACAAGGTGACACTGAAGCCGTGAAGTGCGTTCTCGTAGGAGTACAAAATGGAGGGGTTTAGGTTAATGTTGTCGTGTGGAGGAGTAGTGGAGTCGAGGGAGGAGACGGTGGATGAATACCAGTGATGTTGGGAAGTGAAAACTTTGGGCATGTCAGACTTGTCCATGTGAACTATATACGTGGCTCTCTCTACTACTGCACCAGCCTTTGAATTGCATAGGCATAACAAAGAAATGATTGAGAAACAAAATAAGATCATGCTCTTCATTGTCTTGGACATGCACGTGAATGATGTTTTGCACCAACACAAATTTGTTGTAAGTTGCCACTTTCTTTCCATTTCAATCACTGATCCTTCATTCTTTTTGCCCCCATCCATAATTTCCGTCTACCTTTTTTATTTCATCGATCAATGACAAGAATGTTTGTGTTTGATTCGTGAAATTAAAAAAGGATAAATGGCATTACTTATTTATTTCCGTATGGTAGCTGCATGGTCATTGGTAAAAACTAGGAGGTACGAACAGTTTTCACGGAACAAAAAGGCGCATCAATGATTAAACCAAAGGCCGGCTTCAGTTAATTAATAATGAGCAGTGTCATGTGTTGCTCCGTATGAACCAGAAGCTCAGTGCAGCTTTGCAAAATAAGTCATGCACTGCTTTTATGTTGTAATTTTACTTATTCTAAAGGTCAGAAGACTAATTTATTAATTATTATGTAATTTCGACTTATTCTAAGCATGGAATGTCACTGTTGTGATCATGTGCCTATTAATTAGTAATTATAATTATATATTCCATTCTGTTGTGTTGAGTTACTTCTTATGGATTCACTTGACTTTCAAAACTGACCCCCGAACAAACACAGAAGAAAGTCTGACGGGTAATAATTATTGCTACCAAAGCAGAAGCACTTCAATGCATAAAAGCTTGAAATACGGAAACCTGCATTAGGTTCAAGCAACATTTTATCCAACAATTATAAAAGCAAAACGAGAGAAAAAAAAAATCGAAAATGCACTGGGAAAATGCTGCCAACAACTGGTCCAATATGCAATAATTGGAAACAAATATCTAGTTACATCTTCCATTCATCTGTCGCCCAAAAAACAAAAAGAAAGAAAAAAAATCTTCCGAGTATCTGTACATTTCTCACCTAACGCCATTTGAAAATGCTTTTGCATGACAGTATCCTAATGCAGTCGATCAGATTCTCGACTTTGTCTTTATCGTTCCTATAAAGTGAAATTCATTAAAAAAAAAAAATTCAAACAAGAAAGGCATGTACCAAGGGAACTAACTAAAATTGAAAGACCTGAAAACCAAGCAGCATTTTGAGGAATGATGATATACAGCTCAAGTTATTTTGCCCAACTTCAAATCATTGTGAAACTACGTTACAAAAACCAGAACAGAGACAATCTGGCAAGGCAATTTTCTGACATTAACTGAATTGTTAAGTGAAACAAGGAAACGGACATGAAGTCAGCCCGCTACCATTTGATGAAAAACTATGGCAAAAACTAATGGATTTTTATTTTGTCATTGACTGGTTCAGAATACATTTAAATTACAATACAAACACAACATTCATTCTATTGCAGGTAATGTCCCTGAAACAAGAGATATTTCAACAAGTAAATAAATTTTTCAAATGGGCATCGTGCATTTCTTCTGAGAATGTCCTAACATATGACAGCGACCACATTGAACAACTTTTTTGGGACGCTTAAAGTTCTCCACTCGTAGAACCTTCTTTTTAGGCCTTCCAGGTGGCCGGCGAGTCTTTGGTGGGCGAATCATGATATCAACCCTTGCACCGCCTCCACCTTCTGCTCCTTCTCCTTGCTCTCTCCACTGGCTCTTATCTGGTACAGGATTAATAATCTGTGAATAGGTCATTCTATAACTTTGTACAGTGAAGCATGGTTCAGCAAACATATGGGCATTGTGTCCACAAGAAATAAGTGCAGCAGCAGCATGGGCACATGGTAAGCCATACAGCTGCCAACGGCGACAAGAACACTCACGACTCCGTATATCCACAATATTGGTCCTCTCAGTTGACACAATTTCAAACTCAACTTCATTTGCCCGGAGTACTTGATAGCAGTGAGCATCAGCAATTGCCTCCAAAATCCGCTTCTCAGCTGATGGTACAAGAATTGATGTCCATCTCATGCCCATATCCTGCCTATCATTAAACCAAGATACCATCTGCTGCCGGATGTGTTCCATCATCTGTACTATTGGGAGTTCATGACATTCAAGAGCCCAGTTATACAATAACTCAGTCACCCCAAGTGTGAAATGGCCATATCGAACACCATCAAAGTAAGCCACCGCCCAAAGATAGGGAGGAAATTGTTGAAACCATGATATAACATCTTGTGAAATTTCCATCATCTCAGTAATCTTGCTTTCAAATTCAGCAGCAGTAAGCGCATAAACAGCATTCCAAAAGATGTTTACCAACTTTGTGTTTTTAAATGTATCACGGAAATTTTCACTAACATAACGCAGACAGAAGCCATGTGAAGCACTGGGAAAATGTGTTTCTACTGCCTCCACTAAGCCTCTTTGCCTTTCAGATAGTATTGTCAGTCTAGGCATGTTGTCTGTGTTTACTCCTAGAAGTTTCCGCAATTCTGACATGAACCACATCCAGTTTTCATCGCTTTCAGCATCAACAACAGCAATAGCCAAAGGAAACAAAGCATCATCAGCGTCAACAGCTGCAGCACAAAGCAATGTACCTAGGTATTTTCCTTTGAGATGTGCTCTGTCCAGTTCTAAAAGTGGCCTACAAGCATTTATAAAGCCATAAATAGATGCACGATAAGAAATAAACAGCCGTTGAAAACAATTTTCTTGTCCAGCGGCAACAACAGATGTGATGCTACCAGGGTTGGTTTTCCTTATTTGTTCACAGTAACCAGGGAGAAGACGATAACCTTCTTCAAATGTTCCATGGAGTGCAGCCATGCTACGTTCCTTCCCCCGCCAAGCTTGCATGTAAGAAACAGCAACTCCATGCTGATCACGAATATCTTGCAGTATTTCCCTTGGTTTGTATTGTGGATTATCTCGAATGCGTGCTTCAACAGATCTTGCAACCCAACCTACTGATGCCTGCTGATGATGGAGGTTTTGAACTCCCTCACAAGTATGTTCTCCTTGTAGAGTTCTTACAGTAAAAGTTGGAACACCGGGACACTTTGCTACATGGACACGCCATGGGCACCCTTCTTTGGAGCATTTTGCTATAAAACGACTGCGATCTGACTTAACTATCCGAAGATCAAAATGCATAGCTATGGCAATATCTTTCAGTGTTCTTCGGCAGGTTTCCACATCGGGAAACTCTTGCCCAATGACTAATGGCTGCTCTGCTACAGTAACAGTACCAACAGATGTGTTATTTAAAACTAAAGAATGATTAGCCATATATCCACCAAAACAAGGAAAGAGCAATGTCATCTGACTCTAAGGGTTTCCATCATATGTATGAATTATCAAGGGCTTCCAAGGATACGAATTGAAAAATCCCATCATATTAAACTTTCAGCCAATTACAGGCTCTCTGCAATACATACGAGAAGGAATGGTTAAATTCTATATAGTTCAGAACAGAAAGCCATTGAAACAATGGAAATTTGGGATCATTGTACAGTAAAGAACAAACAAGCTATAAGCAACGTAACTACCTAACTGATAATGGATGTTCAATAATTGGATTATTCAAAATGAAAACAATTGCAGAGGGAGAAAAAAGTAAAAGGACCCATCAGTAGACTTAAAATATAAATCTACAAACTTATACACTAACATAAGAGTTTGTAAATAGATAATTGTTTGTTCAACCTGAACATTATGAGGCTGCCAACAAAATTTGTAGAAGTAGAACATTCACCTCTGGCATAAAATCAACATGTTCCTTGACAAAGAGAAGTTCAAATTTTATAAGGAGCCGAGTAACATTATTTGAACTAAGCATTTTTTCATGAAAAATAAATATGTAGAGGGGATGGTGCCTCAGTCCAAGATAAGGAAAGCTCCAAGACTCAGAAAGCACTTACAGTTATAGATAACTTAAATTCACCTCATTCCAAAGAAACAAGCGGGAATACATGCCTATAACCTATCAAATACGAGACTTTATCTTACTCCACTCAACCAACCCCTGCAACCGTTATGATTCTAAATTATTGTCAAACAAACCTACTACATGTAGATCTGTATAAGAGTGTAACATGCTCTTATATCAATATCTCAATACACAGAAAAGATTACATGAATGAAACAAGCTAAGAGTGTAAACGCTATTGAGATAGCGAGACCAAAATAATTAGAAGATGACTCTCTAGTTCTCCATCCCTCTTAACTTGATTTTGTCATAAACTTGGAAGCCTTTTAATTCATTTTCTTAAATTTAATTAAAGAGATAATGAAAAATTATACATTTAAGGTATCAGGGGATGGGGATTGAAATCAAGCATTTCATTCATGAATGATATAAATGCAGGATTATAGATAAATTATGCTTCAATGCCATAATCACAATTCAGAATTTGTTAGGCTAGATTTAATGGTCGCGGGTGAAGATAGAGCGCAATCACAGCAACCATACACAAGAATAATTTTTTTAATCCTTGGCAATTTCTATGGAACTTGTTCAAGTACATGTATCCACAACCTGCATTTATAGTTGCAGGTTCCTACAACCTACAACTAACTTGCTATAGCCTGCATAAAATCCACATTTCTGAAGAATATTACTTTGAGTTATCATTTTTGCAAACATGACCTTGCCTAAACTTCCCAAATAGTTGATTGGTCCTGCACATAATTCCAGTAATTAATTCATTAAAACTTGTTGCCAGCACAAGACTGCTTCACTGTGTTTGTTTTCTTATAAATAATTAAACACAGATCATACTCTAAGGGAATATAGGAGGACATCACAATAACTGCAAGCTTCATTTAAACCAAAACAAAAACCTAGTGAACTCCAATCAATCTACCCCCTCATAGGCATTAAAACGTAGAACACTCTCATCTTTCTACTTCATCAACAAACAAGAAAGCAGCATAAAATCGACGTGAAACACAGTCTCTTGATAATATATTTGAGGGGTTCATATTCTAGCTTCAAATCGAGGGGTCACAGTCACGGAACAAGGACCACATTGCTCACCTAGGTCATAAATTAAACGAGGCACTGGACACGACCGGAACTCTCAACACTCCCTTCGGATCCAACAATTCGCAATCTGAAAATTTCAATTTCCGAATCCGTAATCAAAATTTTGTAAACTACGAGGTGGAATTTTCCCTTGGCAAAACAATTCACAGAAACCGACCAACATACACACATGTATTCTTCAAAATTAATTTTTATTTTTAGCATAAAAGAAATCGAGACATCCAGAAACTTGGAAGCGAGATATAATTGGGGATATGATGCAGGAGAAAACAAACAAGAGACTTTGGCTGAAAATATGTGTGAAAATTATTGGAAAAAAAAACACACAGAGAGCACCTTAGCTTACAGTTATTTGTGTTTGAAAGTGACGGTTTCTGGTACAGTTGTTGCTGCTGTTCCTCCTCCTCCTCCTCCTCGTCGTCGTAGTTATTTAGCTTCAGTTTCTTGAATTTGAGGAGATGGTGGACCGCAGTAAAACAAACTTCTGTTTCTTTTTGTTCTTCTCTGCTTTTGTTTTCCTTTTTTTTTCTCTCTTTAATTTCCGTGTTCGGGCAGTACAAATTTGCTAAAATGTTTTTATCTTCTTTTTTTTTTTTTTTTTTTTTTTTTTTTTTCTTTCTTTCTTC